TCTGGAAAATCATCTGCAGTAATAAACCACATTAAATCTTTTTCATATTGGAATGTATAATGTAATAAAATTCATTAATTATATTAATCCATGGAAAATTTTACCAATGAAGTCAAATATTCACAGTATTAAGATATTAATATTTAATTGAAAATAATTCCTTTGATTTTCCTTATATTCAGAACACTATCATATTCACAAGTCAATCATAACAACATATTTGTGTTAAAATTGGTTTCAGTTTATTTCTTTATTCTCTGAGTCTTTCGGGAGATCGTAATGTATGAAACTCGTTAATATATTCATATTTTTCACTGCATATGTGTTATGTTTTTTTTTACCTCCAGAGTTTTAAAAGGTTGGGAATAATAACAAAGTAGTAAATTTGTTTGTTCGTTTAAACGCAAAGCTACACAATATATTATCTATGCTGTTTTCGTTGAAGGTATTGAACCTCAGTTTTTAGCCTTATAAGCGATTAAGCATTATGCATTTACATATGACATAATAATTATACAAGAATTTGGCACGGTACGAAGTTGGAGTTTTATGAAGTTTTCAAACTTGTTTTTAATGAAAAATAAACATTATCCATGACAATATGTTTTTGTTTGTTATTAAGCATAAAGTTACCTAATGCGCTATCTGTGCTCTGTCCAACGTACATATCAAAACCCATATTTTAGCGCTTTAAGATACGAGACTTTCCGCCGAGGCACCAGGGGGCATAACTAACTATAGCCAAATTAGATAGAAAATATTCAAATTAAAAAATACATATAATTTATAAACAAAAGTCTTAAGGGGACATCAGTGTCAATTTAGCAAAAAAACAAACCATATCCACTAACTTATATGTAATGCTCTGCCTATCTACTATTAATGTAGTTCAGTTTTTATTGAATATCATATATCGAAATTCTGTTTATAAGACAAGTGACAGAAAAAATAAGTAAACCTACCCACATTTTCATATCCACGCTAAACCTACCTCTTCAGAAACAAACGATAACTCCAGTTTCTTTTCAGTAACTTTTTCCATTGTTGCTGAAAAAATCCACACAATACAACTTAGATATAAATAAAATTCCAAATATAATAAGACAACGTCTACAATTGTGTCTAAATAACACTAAAAAAAAGCGGTTACCCTATAAAAGAGTAACACTCACAACAATCTGAACTATACATTATCCTTTTAAAAGTTAGGGATATTTTGAGCATTTCATCTCGGAAATAATGTTTTTTTATTACTGTGTTATTTATTTGTTAATCGTAGCTGAAAACGTTTAAGTTTATTTTTTTAATTATGCACAAAGCTACACAGAGGATATCTGTGCTCTGTCCACCACGGATATCGAAACCCGTTTTCTAGCGTTGTAAGTCCGCAGACATGCCGCTGTGCCACTGGGGGGCAGTGGATATAGAAAGATGTGTAGGTGTACTAATTGTTACTATTATATCTTTCACATATTTATGAACACAGTTCCCCATGGGTTATATTCAATAAAAAAATAAGTTGCATTAATACTATATTAGTTGAGCATTACCTAGTGGTTTGTGTGCCGAGCTATACGTTAAACAGGATAATATTTTAGCGGTGATAATCACTGAAAATGATGTGTGGGTGTATTAAATGAAAGTTTATTTTGAGATAATTTAATTAAATATTTCAATCCATTCGTGTTATTTATAATTCAAGAAAAGATATTTGATTGTTGATCGAACAGATAATAGTAATGTTATTCATGGTTTATTAGAACGTAATTGCTATATAAAAAAAAGATATTTCAGAAAAGCATTTCCTTCTTACTTGCTCAAATGACAGCAAGAAACAGCAAAACTTGATAACTGATACACTACGAAATTCACCAAATGAAAAATCTTTCCAACTGTCTCACAGCGAATGATTTTTTGACAGAGAAAATTTTCTCATTTCCCTACTTACCATAACTAAGGCACATTATTGAAAAAATCTTCAAGAGCTTGTTTTTGTCATCTTTCGCCTGAAGATGGGAACATTGACAGGGAAACAGATTTGAACGAAAAAGCTTCGTAAAGAGAGCCAATGGTAGTGTGATGTAAAATTACTCATGCTATATATTTTCATAAAAGTAACCCGAAAAACGGCGCTAACTCGGTAATTCTTGGCCCGATTTTAACGAAACTTGTTTTATTCTGTTTCTATTCTCATTTTATTACAAATATGGCGCTATTGAGCGCCGTTTTTGCTGTATTTAATTACAGACAAGCAAAGAAACAAACAGTCTCAGAGTTTTAGTAGTATACAGATTACAGCTATTTGTATATATAATATTCGTAAAATCTGTGTTCTTTCATTATTATTTTTAATAATAAATGCCACTGTTTTACTTAACAACCATTTCTTGTTTTTTTGGTGTATCTTAGCTGGATAAACTTACAGTTTAATATATCTGCATTATAATGAATACTTAACAATACTTATCGGCCTGTATGCTGTCGCAGTCCCGTTGAAACTTAACCAGAAAATTTTAGATTATGTAATACCTAACAACTTAATTTTCAGTATTTGATGATATCAACAACTTAACAAATAAAATTATTCCAAATATAACTATTATAATATCCTTAAATAAATTGTTCTGTGGACAGGGGTATTTTCCTTTTCTTCACAATCAAACAAACTTAATTCATAAAAACAGAAGATTTGTTTATCGTTAGATACCCAAACTTGTCTCTTATGTTGATTAAACAAATTAATCATATTCATAATATGTATTGTGATAACCAGTGAAACTAATCTGATGAAATTAAACCAGTGCTCAATACATGTACTTATTACAATAAGTTTTAACAGCCACCTACCATATTATTATTCCAAAAATACAGTATATTATAGAGTTTTTATTAAGTATGTTTTCCTCTGATGTAATTCCAGGAGTGAATATTAATTAGATCCCCACATATCAGATCTATATGAATTTATGGAAGTACTTATATTCCGGTTTATCTCACACGCTATTTCTAAAGGTGGTCCGCTCAGTTGTTTTGTAAAATGTGCAGTTATCACAAAATAAGACAATACAGTGTACAACATTGTTTCTAGATATTTAAACACTGAAACGATTTTATTTTTCTTTACTTGAGTACCATTTCTTCTTTTACTGAGTTTCTTCTTCCTCATCTAAATATAAAAACTTTATTTTTTTACAGTTTTGTGTCTTATAAAAATGATATTTAAAATATTCAAAACTATTGCTAAACATAGTAGCAGCATAAGAACAAATTTATACTAAATTGAATGTTTTCATAGACTTCTTGATGCAAATGTTCTGTACATGAAACAGTTGCTTCTTTTCCTTTAGTTTAGTTTCTAGACATTTCTTTTTCTTTAAAAGTTTTGTTGTTGCTCTAAATCACATTTAGTGTACATGTTGTATATATATATTACAAATTTTTAAACATGTTTACCTTGTTATTGTGCTGGTTACACACTGTTTAGGATCATTCCTTCTTTTAATATATTTGAAAAGTAGCACTGGTTTGCCTCTTGATAATGTGTTCTGTAATTGTGATATTCGAGTATATGAAGTGTTCTGTATATCCTGTATGTTTACACCAACTTTAGTAATGTAGAGGATTTCAAATTTTTCTATAGTCGTGTCTTTGTAGTTTTGGCATAAAACATTTGTTCTAGAAAACCATTTAAATATTTCATCGATAGTAATAGTTTCTTTTCGAAAGCTCAATTCTTCTTATATTTTTGTATTTACTTATGCCTAAACAATTAGGTTTTGATTGAAAGATTTAATAAATACTTCCCGTTTACATTTAAAAACGAAATATTTTTATTATTTTATACGTCGTTATCTTTTACGAATTGGAGTAATGTTACTCCATAGCAGAGTGTAGAAAATTCTCAGTATTTATAATTTAATCATACATCTACCTTACTCTGAATATAATTTGCTTATAATAAGCTTAAGCATCTCAACTGTAATATAGTATCACTTACGGAAACTCTATTATTTCTAAAGAGGAGAATAGAATTTCGTGATTTATATTGATATTTAAAATTTCACCTCCAATATTACATATTCTTGTTTTGTACACTTACTTAAATTTATCAGTTATCTTTCTTTATTGTAGTTTAAACTAACAAATTGATGAATATATTCCTATCATTCTTCTGGTATTTTATTATTCATAGTATAATTTGATTTTCCACGGCTATTTTCAGTTTATTCCAGAAATCTTTTGGTGATCTAATAGAATAAAATAGGATTCTTTTCCGATATTTTCTTTATTTTGCCTGAATTGTTATTGTAAGTATGATCCTTTTAATTTTTGATATTAAATAAGAAGTCCATTTTCAACTTTATCAGCTCTTTGCTGTTCTTTCCCTTAACTATTTGTAGTTTTTGAAGATTTTAGCAACATAAATGTACTCATAAAAAATATTTCCTTGTTTTCTTTGGACATTTCTTTATCAAATTTGACATATTTTATAAAAATCTCATTTGAATATCCTTAGTTGTGTGTCCCCCCAGTGGGTCAATGGTAAGTTTACGGAATTACAACACTAAAATCTAGGGTTCGATTCCACGCAATGGACAGAACAGATAGCCCAATTTCGTCATTAGTTTCGAATCTCAAAGGAAGTTAAGTACATTCTTTGCTATCAATTGATAATAAACAAGCTACATAAAATTATGAAGCATGTATTTCTAAACAACAAGTACATTTCACAGTTTATTTTATATATCCAAAGTAAATTTATTTGCAATTTAGGAACATTTTTCTACATACTCTGTCTAATTGGTTTTGTTTTCTACTTCTTTTTATAATTTGTCTGTCTTCAGAGGCAGTTCTAATCTAAACCTAATGGAACACTTAATACCATGAAACTATAATTTTCAATATCATTGCTTTCTTAGATGGAGATATACAGCACTTACGTTTTAAGTGTTTATGGAGTGAACGCTATAGGAATGAATTCGCAAACTTACTATCATCAAATGCAACGAATTGATCAAGAATCAGAAAAAGAAGAAATATTTGTTTCCATATCTGGACCTCGAGTTGTAGATCCTACAAAAGAAAATACGTACTTCGTGTACCTGGAAACTTGTAACCATTCTTTGTTTCGACATGTACAATTTAATGTAAGTTGAAGTTTTATTTAACTTCTCACTGTAAAATAAGACATGCTTTTTATAGTACGTTTTAGATTGTAAATGTATAAAATAATTTGTATAGTAAATTTGGTAAAGATGTCATAATTTCTCAAAAATGTTTTTAGAGAATAATGTAGAAACAATTACTCGCTACTGACTGACAAATATATAGTACTCTGGAGTTTGAAGAACTGAGGTTCATTAGGAAATACGCTAATGTATGTAAAACTTATGGATTCTCTTATAAAGGGCATATTTTGTGATCTTGACAGTTTTATACGGTTAATGTGATCATATCATTCTTTACTTTATATCACTAAGTATTAAACTTATGTTTTATCCCGCTGAGGCGTGGAATTGTTATTATATACAGAGGTTGACCACATTCTATCAAACGATTTTGGAGCCTCACCACGTCGCTACATTCCATAGCCCTGATGCGAAGTTTCTTTTCCAAAAGACTGTTTCTTAAGGTGACCATATTCACAAAGCAAATCCTCCACCCGAGATTCTTACCTGTAGCTAATCTGTTACATTGCTTATCAGGTCTGGGTTACCTCTGCAGGTCTATTCTGGATTATCTTGGTGCCCACGGTTGTTCTGTATTCCTTTTATTTCCAGTGCTATTATGTATGAGGGTTAGCCAAATCTTGGAAATTTTAAATTCACGGTATGAATACATCTTTATGATCTGAGAGTATGAATATTTTGCGTTGGACAACAGTGACAACAGTAGTTTCAGAAGAGACCGTGTGAAAAATTAAAAAAGCAAATCACAGAAAAATAATTACATTCACGTTATTTGAAGCCTCCAAAGAAGCACAATAGATAAATTACACGAGCACTATTTTTCTAAATGACACTAATGTTTCAAATCAGTTGTATCTAATTTCTTAAGCCAATTTAAATACACTTCACATGTAGGAACTGTAACAAGCCCTGGTGGTATAAGTTCACTGATATAGAAGATTGAATAAAAGACTTTCTATTAAAAAATGCAGGTGAGATGCTGGGTCAAGGATTGAAGTTTTACATCAAACTGAGATATGTAGAAGGGTCCAATACATGTTCAAGGACATTGAAAATTCATAGAGTCGAGCATTAGTAAAGCAGAATTATTGACTGAAACAAAAACCAGAGACCTTCACTGTTGCGTTAATAGGATTAGGACACGATACACTCGAGCCAAATAACATTGTATCTTTTTTTTTTCTCTCATGAATTTTGTGTGAGGAACTGTAACAGTGTCAGTTCAAGATATAGTTTAAAAGATCTATTTACAAAGAAGTTTCTGATACAAATTAGCCAACAGCTAGAGGACTCCGAAATCATAATTCCAAATAGTGTAATATTTTCTAGCTGTTCTTTGTTTTCAAGGCACAAAATGAGAGAGAAAGCTGACTCCAATTTAACACATATTTTCATAACAGATTCTTGAATTCTCATCAATTGATATATTGCCATGAATGTCACGTCATTTATCGTTCTCGACGTTTTCCACGAAACAACCACTTTTTCAATTGCCTTGAATAAGAAAAAATAGTTTAATAAATATTCCAACGGTGTATATATATATATATACATAGAATATATACATATGTTTATCAGTCATTTGCTGAAAATGTTATTAACTTTATATATTTTGCCAAGTGGAAGAAATTAGCAAGACATAGAAACATTTTAAAATTTTCAAGCATGAAGTGACAGTATTGTTCAACGTAGTTATAAAAATTATTAGATTATTTTACTTGAATATTTTTCTCTGTGCGTATGTCATTAATAATTATTAAATTACTATGAATAATTATAGGATTTCTGGAAATATAGTATACAGTGAAAGTCTACCATTGCGACTATACCACACTCATTTAAAGTTTCTTAATTAAGCTCAAAGCTCATCAGAATTATCTATCTAGTCATTAACAAGTCGCTGTAATAAAATAATACAGTAATGAATCATATATATATATATAGATTGTATTTGAATTCTAGATCATATGGAGTGTGAATACCTCTGATTTCAAGTTGCCAATATTTTGGGGCTCACAACTGACGATTCCAGAACTCCAAATGAAAGGAAATGCCTTCTACAAGATCACTGTCTCAGGTACCTTTATTTTTGAAGGACTTTTAATAGAAAACATAAAGTAAAATTTAATCATTTTTAGGAAAAAAGTATGTTTCAGAGTATAAAAAATATTTCTGTGCAAGACATCCAAGTCATGCTTATCAGCTAAAATTATTTGCCATGCAATTTAATTGGCAAGGTACATATACTTTGAAATATGTAGTGAGAAAATGGATATGGGACAAATACATATATATTTAGGTCATTATGGCTAAATGCTAGATATGGGTTATTATGTAAGGATGAGCAGACTGATCGTTTGGACTAGTGGGATCAGTTCAGTGAAAGAAGGTAGCTTTTTGGGATGGATGGTTTATATTTAAATAAAATAGAGACTGGCTTGTTTGCTACGGCTATTAACTCAGCAGTAAGGGAAGTTTTAAACTAGAACTAGATAGAGGTGAGGGCCAGGATAAACTAAATGCGAAAAGAATAAGAGGCAGTAATAAGTTTAGCATGTGAAGTGAGTATAGAAGTAGTTATAAGGGTAGGCTTAATTGTTACTATTGTAATGCTAGAAGTATCTATATGATTATAATGGTACTGTCTGTTGAATGTCCATGTAACTACTTCGCATGGTATGGGTAGATATTCACTAAAATTGGTATGGAGGTTCATTAGATCCATGCGGGGGCACATAAAAACTTGTGGTTTCACATTTTGTGTTTTGCAGTTTTATGGGCGTTTTTTTTTTACAGTTACATATAAGGAAAGCAACTATTCATGTCCTAAGATAACTTCTCACTAATCATGAATTTACATAACATCCGTCCAGGGAACGGATACTCCAGCTCGAAAGACATAAAATAGATGGCTTCAGAGCACTGGTTGGAATAAAAGATTTGGATATAATGGGAATAACTGAAACATGGATGAACGTAGATGATTTTGATGACAGAAATTTCTTTGAAATACAGGGTTGCAGGCTATTTAATATGAATAGAGTACTAAAGAGGGGAGAGAAGTGGCTCTATATGCAAAATGTGGGTTACATCCTGTTGAAGTTGAGAATATCAAAGATTACAGCAAGGAGATTGAATCCATTTGGGTTTCTATTAGTGGATATAAAGGGAAAAGTCTTTTAGTGGGAATTTGTTACAGAACACCAAACTGTATTGATGAAATTAATGAGAAACTTTACAATGAGATTAAGATTTCAGCTGTTAATGAAGTCATAATTATGGGTGATTTTAATTTCAGGCATATAGATTGGGAAATGCTAGAGTCAAACCGTGATGGAGAAAGGTTTTCGGAAACTGTTTGAGATGTCTTTCTTCACCACTTAGTCAAGGAACCTACTAGAAACAACGCATTTTAGATTTATTGTTAACTTCAAATATAGAAATGATCAAGAGCGTGGAAATTGGGTGCAAGTGATCATTTCTCTATTAGATTCAATGTTTTGTTGCATATGGAGATAAGGAATAATGATATTTTTATTACAACTTTAAAAAAAACAAATTTTGAAGGGATGCAACAAGAATTATCTGTTGTTTTTGAAAATCTGATAAAAGATGCTTTGCAAAGACATTTAACAAAGTTTAGAATTTTATTGGATAGTCAACATGGTTTTACTAAGGGAAAATCTTGCCTTACAAAGCTTTTGACATTCTTTGAAATATATTGCAAAAGAGGTTTAATTATAATAAATGCAAGATAATGCATGTGGGTTATCATAATTTGAATTATAGGTATCATTTGGATAAGAATAACCTTAATAGTGTCATGAAAGAAAGGGATCTTGGTGTAATAGTTAATCAGTCTCTAAAGCCATCCAAGCAGTGTACTGTTGCTAGTGGTAGGGCAAATAGTATTTTAGGTTGTATCTAAAGAAATATTGAAAACAAGTCTAAACAGATTATAATTTCATTGTACAGGTCACTGGTTAGGCTACATTTGGAATATTGTGTTCAGTCTTGGGCTCCTTACCTTAGGAAAGACATTGAATTGCTGGAAAGGGTTCAGAGAAGGGTTACTAGAATGGTGCATGGGATGGAGGAGATGTTATATGAGAGGAGGTTGAAATCTCTTTTTTTTTCTTTTCAAAAAAACAAGAGTTAGAGGGATCTGATGGAGGTGTTTAAGATTGTAAAGGGAATTGATAGTGTTGACGCATCATCTTTTTTTCATACTTAACAGTGAGAATAGTAGGATTTGGGGACAGAAGTATAAATTTTGGCAAGGTAGGAGTCATATTCAGCAAATACAGTTATATTTTTCTAATAGTGTGGTTGGCCTTTGGAAAGAGTTGCCTTCGTATGTTGTGGCAGAAATAAATTTAGGTGAGTTTAAGATAAAGCTTGATAACTATATGAATGATAAGGGCTGGCTTTAACCTTTTTTAAAATTTATTTATTGTTTGTTTTAGTTTAGTTTAGAGGATGGAACAGTCGAGATGGACCAGTAGGTCCCATGTTGTCCCAAAACATTATGCTATATATATATATATATATATATATTATATGATACACACGAGTTCGATACAAGGGGCAACCAAAATTAATAGGAACAAAAAGTAATTTATTAAAAGAGACTTTTTTTCACATAAAAATTCAACATGCGAAAGCTATAACAATACTTGGAAAATATGGTATGGGTAGAGTAGCTTGAGAACTAGTTCAAGTCTGAGCACTGAAAATATTATTACAGACTGTTCAGAAAATAATTTTAGAAGAATAATCCTCAGTTAGACTAGACTGTATTAGTTTAACTCTATTTTATTATTAGACTCCTTAGATTTAAGGATTTTTTTCTTTGATTTTTTGTTGTTAAATACCAGGTCACAAAATGGGTTATTTGTTCTCTTTCCACTGCAGGGGCATTGAGACCAAATTTTTAGCATCATAAGTGTCCAATCTTACTTCTGAGTGTATTACAGTTAAGAAACTAATGTATTGTTCTAATTCATAAGCAAAAGATTGCAGAATGCATATTTTATGCAGTATAACCCCCCCCCCCTTAACACACACTCAAGAATGTTAGCAACAGACTTAAAATTTGTTACTGTTGTTTCTTATTAATTGACGAAATTGTTCGAGTTCCCTAGTATTTTAGAAGGGTGTTGTATATAAATCTATACAAATAGTTTCAGGTTTAGTTACCTTAAGTAAATTATTTTGCTGTAAAAAATTATAATCTAATAACCCAATTCGTTGGTTAATTAACGTAACTAAAAACACAATAGTATAAACTTTGTTTACTGAAAACTAATCACGAACAGGGATTGAACTACAATTTTTCGAAATAAGGTTTTATAGCTTTTTCAGCTTTTATTGTATGAATATACACATTATATTACACTTGACTTAAGCTTAATTTAGAAACATTCTTAGAAATTTCTAATATAAGACAAGTAGCACATAAAAAACACAAACTGAGTTAAAATATTTATATTTTTAATTACAAATAAGGGCATCTTGAAGAACAAAACTTTTGAAACTAAATAAATCTGAGAAGGTCCATAGAAATAAAGAAGTTCTATAAATTAGATAGTGTGATCACGACCAACATTATTCATTGTTGTTGAAGCTATTTAGATTTTTTTGCCATATTATTTCGAATTGTTAGAGGTAAGAAAGAAACAGAATTTACCATTATTTTACAGTTTTCTTTTTTGTCTGAACTAACTACAATGAGATTTGTACATTTTTTTAACAGTAATATATTTTTTTTCTATAATAAGCCAAACAGTACCGTTCTTCGTGTGGAAACAAATTGTAGATAAAATAAGAAATACCAAACAAGTTATTTTATATTCTATAATTCGAAATCTTCTCCGGATGTCTCAGTTACGAGAGTTAAAGTTGATTAATTTATTTGTCTCTGAAATCTTACACTTTTTCTGAGAAGTTTTGTCTCAGAACGTTCTTCAAGCCGATACTTCATTTCGATAAAAGAACTAATTGAAAATATCTTTAGTACAATAACTAAAACTTTTCTTATCACTTTTTCTGTATAATATTATCTCGACATAATTACACTAAAATTCTTTCAGTTGTCTTTCAAGGTTTCTTGTGTAAAAAAGTTCCATTCAGTAATATTCATTTCAAACATATTCCACAAAATTTTCTAGGTTTCAGGCCTAATAAACGTAATTAATTTAATATATTTACAGCATTTTCTTTAACAAGTGCTTTCCTGATGGCTTATAACACTAAAAATCGGGTTTCGATACCCGTGATGAACACAGCACAAGTACCTCTTTTTGTAGCCTTGTGCTTAATAACAAATTCTTTTACTAGCAACGTGTAAAATTGAATATTTGACTATTTATCATTACGTTGAAAAGTTATTAAATATACATTACGTGAAACTGCTTTTCAGTAAAGAAATGTAACTGTAATTCTTTAATTTCAATAAATCTTTAAACCACAACTAAAAAGCTTGCAATTGCTTGTTTTAATGTTTACATTTTATAGAATATTTTCATTAGTAATGAGTTGTAAGTTTCTTGTTATACTTATTACTATTCTGATTATTGTTCATTTTAGAAAAGTGAGTGTAGTTGTAAAAATGCTTTTTATTGAAAAGTTAAATGATGAAGAATGTACTAAGATCAACATAACCTTCATAAAAACATGATTGCATGTTATTTTAGTAGTTACATGAACTATGTTTCTTTTATTTTACAGTTTTGGGAAATTATCCGGGCCTTCTTTCGACTAATGCATCTATAACTGTGAAAACAACAACAGCACCACTTATGGCATTTGTTCCATCCTTATATCAAGTTTATTTCAACCAAACCTTCTGTATAGATGGTTCATTATCTGCTGATTTGGGACGACAACAAGGAGAAATGAAATTCTTATGGATCTGTTCAAAAAACAATAGTAATGGATGTTATGTTCGTGACAGGGGCGGTGGTGGGTACACTCGGCTAGAACAATGGCTGCAAGAAACTACAGCGCCATCTATATGTATTCCGGGTGGATCATTAAACCCTGGACTGTAAGTAGTTCTTGGTTTAATAATGTCTTTATTGTCTTATCTGCAATTATTACTGTATGTAATATACGTAAATTAAAATTATTCAACATTAAGTTATATTCGTTAAAGTAATATATGATGCCTTTCTTATACTATGCTCAAACCAACAATTACTTAAACAATCCGTTGTCTTGATTATAATGATTAAGTACTTGTAACGATTTCAAATTCTACTTTCTACTTTATAAAATGTTAATGGTAATTTAATACGTTAGTTTAGTGGATTAAAGACTGCAATTTTAGAAGTTATCAGTAAATACTGAAAGAAGTCTCTCTGAAAATCGAATATACAGAGATCACACGTTCGTGATATATAAACATTCAAACTTCTTTGAAAGTTGTCATACAAACAAAAAATTAAATAGGCATCAGAACACACGAGTTTATTTCCTAGTTGTCCACTGTTGCATAGAACTAATGTGTAGTTGAAACTGTATTACTGTTATTGCTAACCAATAAATTTCAAAAGAGTGTTACTTATAAAAGGTTTTACAAAAAAAAAAAGGTTGAATGGAAAAAACAGTTTGCTCTGGAATTATGGTAGTTATATTTATAGTACAGCAAGAATTATCTGTTTATTTTTTTGCGAAAGGTTGTTTACGAAAATGATTAATAATTAATATTAACTTCAAAACAGAGCAACCAGGCTACTGAAAGTGAAACTTATAATCTGTATAGCTAATTGAACATATTTTTCTTACTTATAAAGAGTAGTATGCCTTGCTTCATATTTAACGATATCTTCTACCGTAAGCCTAATAATATCTCAAGAGGTTATATCAGTTTTGGTGGCTTAAGTAGTACAGAGGTTAAACTAATAGTTCAAAATGATCGCTTTTATCAACGAATAGTGGGATTGACCGTAACATTATAACGCCCCCATGCCTGAAAGGGTGAGCATGTTTGGTGTGACGGGGATTCGAATCCGCGACCCTCAGATTGCGAGTCGAGCTCCCTAACCACCTGGCTATGCCGGGCCTTGTGTTTAGAAGTGCTCTTTGCTTAAATTCTGTGAGCTTATATTTGGAAACGTCTGTTAATACGGTCTGGTTTGATCTGATCGTTGAAATACTCGACTCGCAATCTCAGGGTTCCGAGATCGAAATACGTCGCAAATATGCTTGCCCTTTGAATCAAAGGACGTTGTAATGTGTCGTTCATAAAGAATAGGCCAAGAGTTGGCTGTTAGTAGTTTTGAATAGCTTTCTATAAGTTTAAAAATACAGACGGCTAAAGCGGATGGGAATCGAGTAGTTTTTCTGAATTTCAAACAAAAACAAACGACAAATCTAGCAACAAGTCATAAAATGTTCAAGAAAAAGTGATGGGGGTGAGATTTTGTAAAAAACATGATATAAACTTAATTTGAATTCTAAGTGACCGAAATGTATTGTTACTGTCTGTTAATTTTTTAGGACAATGTATTTAATTTTTTTACTAAAACAATGAATATTCCACTTATAATTTATCAATTAAAGATTTCATTGTGTTGCCACCACTTTTTTAGTGTTGGACTTTTGTCGTGGGTACAAAGGTTTAATTATTTAATACATATATATATATATGTGTGTGTGTGTGTTTTTAGGTTATTTATCGAATAACTACAGTGGGAATGGAAGAATTATTAAATAAAAATGGCGATTTCTTTCCTATTAGTTACAGTTTCACGCTGATAGTATCCAAAGACGTTCGGAAGGACAACCAAACATGCGTCGTAAAACTTAAGGAAAACCAAGATGATACGGAGATAATCATCCAAAGTATTACTAAACCCAGTCGAATCAAGGTTTTAAACGGTTTTGTTCGCACCAATTCCAAAACACGTTTCGCTTGGTCTTTAATTCCCAAAAAAGGTAAATGTTTTCATAGTTTATATCGAAAGATTACCCTCACTACCACTGAGATGCTAACAACAAATATGACTAATCAAATATTTTCCATGATAGGCAAATATACGCAAAAAATATGGTTAATTTTACACAATCAAAAATAAAAAATACAACAAATTTATTACAAATTAAGACATTTATAACAAAACATAAATTATGACTCACTAAATAAACATATAGATATATATTTCTTAAATTTTAATTAAATCCAAGCTACATCACTTGTAGTTTTTTAATAGCCTTTTCTAAGAAACTTTTTTAAGTATTACTTTGTAGAATTAATAGCAACAAAAATACAAATTATACCCAGTAACGATAACTGAAGAATGAGTGTCGTGTCCAAGTAATGACATAACTTACTCTAGTAATCAAATTTTTGTATTAATATTAATCGCCTAAATTAATCAGGACTAATTAGTAGCCTATTCATTAAGACCACAGCATTGAACATGATAATAAATATTGTATATATACTTATTTCTTATAACATAAATTTTCAATGGTTATATCTCATTTTGTATCACATAGTGCAAGCCTTTGTTCGAGTTACGAACTTATACAATGTGGGGTGGATGCTATGATAAATAACACAAAAAACCTAATTTTCACATAATTTATTTATAACATAGCATATTATTACAGTATTCATTATTGCCTCACCAAAGGTTTTGTACAGGCCTTAAGAACTCAATATGCATATATATTTTTTAAATATGGCACAATCTATGCAATGGTGAGAGTTATTTTGTAGGAAGAGGTAGCGGAAAAAAATAGTGGCCGTATAAAATGCTTTCTGTCACCCGCTTCCAGATCCAGTTCTTCATGTCCCTCCACAGTGTTTCACGAGGTTAATTATTTGGCGGTCATTGGTCGAAAAAGTGTCTTACTACCCGAAAATGAAAGGTCACGGGTCAAAGTAGGATATGTGTATAACTTAAGAAACGGCTCTTCATATCAGCCTTAAGATAGATGTTGGAGTAGAAACTTCAGTTGACTTTATGTAGTATTGCAATAGTGGCGCATTTTTGTCATTGCATTCCTTCACAGAGAGTGTTATTACACTCTCTGAGATATATAAGATATTTGTGTGTTCTCCCTAACACTGTGTTTAGGTTTTTTATAGAAAAGTTAATTGATTGTTGTTTTTGGTGTAAGGACGAGGCGCCAACTATGAATGTAGTTAATGTTAACTTAAGCCAAAGACCTTAAATGCTCAATAACAATAATAATGAAGGTGGATGGGTTCTAAACCCCTATTAGCATGCCTCTTATTCCAAACTATCATCCTATTAGGTTTGTTCGAGATTTGCCCAGCGACCTAGGGGTTGTTAGATAATGGACAAACAGACAGACACATATTTTTGTGCTTTATATACTTTTTCGTTTTTGGTATAAAGACGTGGCGCCATCTATGAATGTAGTTCATGTTAACTTATGCCAAAGACAATAAATGCTCAATAACAGCAATATGCAACAAAGCATACCTCAGCCGTGATGAGTAAAATGTGGTGTCCTGTTAAAGTGCTAAACTACAAAGGCATATACCAGTGACAAAACCGTCCACGCGTCCTAGCTAAATTACAATATACAATATAATAAAGAATGATCTCTGTCTGGAAATGAAGTCAATAGAGTATGAGTTCACCAGGATAAGGATTCTCAGATTCAACCGTTACATGCCTCAATATTGGGTATATTGATTAAGTAGCTATACTCTGCACCTATTGATTTCTGAGCACCTAGACCATTGAAGAAAGTACTGGTAAACCACTGTCATTGTTTATCACTTGAATAACGGGATATAAGCAGGGAAATGTGGAGTACTTTGGACATGGCAGTCTTAGAACAGAGTCTTTAGCAATGGAAACCACACTGCAGATCTATTGTCTAGACGTATCATCGTCAGATAGAGCATAACCAGATATGGCATCAAAGATAATAACTCTCTTTATAATTATCTTTTTAAATTATAACACTGCATCTTTAAATAGAAAAATATTATATTGTACTTTCTTAAATCATTTTTTCAGGTCCTCCTTATATCCTCACTTTTTCGGAGTATAGAATGACCAATTTCTTTGGTTTCACATCTATGCCTCTTCACGCTTCCTTTAAAAATTATAGAAGACATGAGCAAACAAAATGTTTTACTATTAAGGGCCAGCACGATTTATCAGATAAAGATCTATGTGTGGAAGTGTTACATCGGAGTATTCCTAAGATTGGAGTTTTAAAGGTAAGAAGCTAAAGACTATCTTTTAAATAAATAATTAAGGGAAGCAAAGAAATTAAAAGATAGTTATATTGTTTCACCTCCAACCAATTTGAGTTCATTAAAAATGAGCTAAGTTTACAACTGATGTAATTTTATTAGTACAACCCAATAATGAAACTGTCTAACGTATGCTTGAAACATTTTGGCACTTGAATGAGCTTTTAATAATTTCTTTTTATGTTCATCGATATACTTTGAACAAGTATACATTTGGAAATAATGGGTACAAGTATAAATATATGATGCCTTACAAATTTGGTTCAAGACACACGTGAAAACAGTATAGTTGATTTATAATATTAAAGCTTGTTTTCTTTGTAGTTTTGGTAAGTTGTGGTGATTGGATATCAATCGCTATAATTGTTATTTAAAAAAATGATATAATCCAAAATAACAAATCATTCATTGTTTCTATAGACTAAGTACTAAATTGTTCTACATTTCGATTGTTAATTTACAGCCATCTTCGAGAAAGTCATGGAAAATACTGTATATTGTGGCCATTACCTGGCTTTGATCTTTTCTTAGTTAAAAAACAAAACACTTTTACTTTATTAGGATTTGAATTAACTGAGTATACGAATGGCTTTGAGAGACACAGCCAATGTCGCTGGCATATTTGAGGGTTGACCATAATATCTGTTATATTAAAGTTAAAAGCCTCTCTTATTTTCTGATTTTTCACTCCAGTTCCATTTTCCCAGTAGGGCTTTTCTGATAATCCATCATAGTACTCGCACACGGAGCATGTATCAGTGAGAAATCGCAACTGTGGATATATATATAATCCTTCCATACTCAAATTACTAAATTACTGTACACCAAACAACAAGGGATAAAGTCTACAGTACCATAATACTCACTATATTTTCAAGGTATCCGTTCTCATTTAATTTAAGAAAACAGCAACAAAATCAACAAAGCCATATAATAAACTTTGCGGTCCTTATTTGACAAATCATAAGTTGAGATATACATACATATATATATATATATATATATTTGTTTTCCTATTTATTTGTTCAGTTTTTATATGTTCATAGGATGGACACAAAATCTATAAGTATAACCATATCCCTGATAACTATAATTTTTCCAAGAATTAAAACCACAATCTCAAATTTATAAAATGTAATCCTTACTTTGGCCTATAAATAAGTGTATAACGCTGCCAAAGTAAGGATTAAACTTTATAAATTTACGAGGTTTTTTGAAGTCTTGTTTCATCACTTTCTGTTGCAGGATTCCTAGTTCATTTTAAAATTAATAATTTTTAATACTCCTGTCTGCTTACTTTTTATGTTATACCTACTTTACCTTTAGTAGCTGTCGCGTGTATATCCATCAATATTTAGCGCCATCTGTTGCGTTGAATTGGGTTGAAAAAATATTTAAGTATGTGCATGAATTGTTTACCATTTATAAAAATTCTGTATGTATTTATGGAAATATCAAAAAAGAATACCCACGGACCAGTCAATTAGGCTGGAGAAATCTTGTAGCGGTAGTCCGATTCGTTTAGGGGCTAGCCCAGCTGACATGATCAGGTAGGTAGGAAGTAGACTAAAAAGTTGCTGTTTTTGAAATTTTTGAATTGTTATATCAGAAATGTGTGCGATGTTTTTAGCATATTATTATTATATATGCACATAATGTATCGAAACGATGCTTTGAATGGTCGGTTTTTCGCTTAGGAATTCAATAGGGTGGTTTTTGGCGCGTGAATTATTTGGAATCCTTGTCGATCCCTACTATTAAGTACTACTTTATTTAATATATGTATAGTGGTGGAAAAGTTATTGCATCACCGAATGTTTCCAGATTTTTGCTGGATCCTGTAGTGTTTACGAGATTGTGCAATGTAGAATGGTCAGAACTAGTGTAAAATAGTTATGGACATTTATTGGTGTAAGCTGACTCATATTTCAATCATCGATACATATGTATGTGTCTTTATTAGCAAAACTACTTTGACAAACGTATTCAAATAAATGACCAACAAATAGTTGGCAAATACGAAAATGTTTTCTGAGTTACAAAACCTAAATTTCAAAATAACACCATTCATGATTAAAAATAGTCACAGATTAGAGCTTGCTTCACTTCCATGGTACTTCTCGTTTTTTTACCGTGCACTTTGTTAGCCGTTACTTTCCATTAGTTTTTGATAGGGTTGAGATCTCGGCTGTTGCCTGATTAGCATAGTGTCTCAATCATTATCCTTCATTTTAAGCAGTGAATAAAACCTCGGATGTCTTTTCAGAACACCTAGAGTGAAATGTTTTCTTTATTGTACGTCTACTGTATAGAGTGCATGAGTATTACCAACCTTTTCAGCCCTATGGTATGGAGTAGAGCAATCTTAGCATCTGCACTGGTCAGCTTCACCAACGGGTTTCCATAGAATTGGCTTTAACCGCAACTCGAAGATCTCTTTGGACTTGTAGGCACTAACGGTGTCTTTTACAAAATGCAGACATCTCAAACCCTGGCCATGCATATAGTTTCATATCACTTGCAGATTCTTCACAAATACATTCAAACACATGATCCAATTGTATAAGATTTTGAGTGATATTGTATACACTTGATTTTTAATCTTCGTAAAGATATTTTTCTTAACAAATGTTTCACAAATGGTCATTATAAATACCTAAGTGCTTTTAGATATTAAGACAGCAAAATAAATATTCAAATGTCAACAGGCTTTTGGTATTACGAATAATAAATTTATATTTTAATTACGTTTTTATTCCAGTAGATGATCTTGTCTTTCCAGATGTGACTTCTAAGCATGGGACACATGAATATTGTTTAAACTGTCTTTTTTTCGTTCTGTTTCATCAGAATAAATTCACTATCACTTAACTTTCAGTTCTAAATTGATTTGTTGCACAAGTATTCTATCTTACTTTGAACGCTCGATATTTTGATAAATAATGAATTTTTGGTAAAACACAGGTTTCACCAGAATCTGGTCTTGCTTTCGTTACACAATTCACACTGGATGCTACTCAAGGCTGGTGCATGGAAGCTGATAATCATCCACTTAGTTACAGATTTGTTTACCGGATTCCAAACACCCAAGATAAGATAACCATAGCAACAGTGAGAGGTCACATTCCACGTTTAAATAACGTGAGAATGCCTTGTGGTAAATTTTACTTAATTTCTTTTATGTATTATAGAGGAAGTTTATGTTTTGCATTTTCTGTAATCATAGTAAATTACCATTTATGAAATAAATACAACACCCAAATCCCTTTTTATTCACATTACTGTCAAAACCTTTAACTTGCTTTAAAGCCGCTTCACCGTTATCGTTCTGTCTTATCGTTCTCTAAAAAACTTTATTTATAATTAAACTAGATTTTGACTTTCTGTGACCACTTTAATGGTTGATGAAATCATAATGTGAATTAGTTTTAAAATCTTATTTTATATTTCAAATTAAAAATTTTAACTTGTGTGACAAATAAAATATAAAACATTTCTTCATTTCGCTTAAGAAAGTGGAAGTGTCTTTGTTGATAAGAAATTCTTCACTTATTGGCGTTTTGTGTTAACATATATCGTGCAGATAACCCGTTACTGAGTCAGTTAGACATTGATATACATCAATACCTCTTCCGCATTGGTGTTTGAATGATTACCAATAATTGGTTTGGCAAGAATATCCTTTGGTCTTGAGCTAAGTAGTTTTACGGTCACAAATCTCATGTGAAGATGTAGAGACATGTCATACTTTGTCTTCACCGTTTTACTTAATAGAAGTGTCCAAGTAAGTATATATCAAATACATCCTGGTAGAAACAACCATGCCCTACTAATTTTATACTGGTTGAATTTCTTAGTTTAAATTATATTTCCAAACCTGTATGCACAGAACTGAAATCAGTCGTCTTTCTTGACTAAAGCGTCAGCTAAATTTCAAAAATCGTACGCTGTAAGATGGTTTAAAGTGCCTTTGTCCATTGTGAAACTTGGATTTATTGAAGTCAAAGCTCAGATCCATTCCTTATGAATCGTGTGCTGAACGGCTACTGCACTTAACTTAAGGAAATCAGTGTATCGAAGAATGCGATTCCTGTCATAAAATAGAGATTTGCAAAAATGGCTTTCCTAAATTAGCAGTTTTTGAAATGTTATTTCCTTTCATGTTTTAAATGCACAAAAATATAGATAATTATTTCTTTTTTGAAGGTAATTAACTTTTAGAAGATGAACGTAGTTCTTCCACAAATTAAATATCATTCTAACTGCAATCCTAACCAGCATTTATTTTAACAATTTGCTCCACAAGTTGTATAATAAAAAAAGCAACTTACACAATGGCGAAATATTCTATTTAATTCATATAGTCCTATAGAACATCTTGTTATACAACTCACTATATGATTGTAAATGTGTTTCTGTTTAAAACAGGACAAAATACGAAAGAAATACTGCTAGTTACTGTTTACGTATGCGATTGGAATAAACTTTGTACTGACTTATCAACTTCAGTAACCATAGAATGCCCAGAAAATAACACAATTAGTGGAATAACCGATGTAACAAATGAACTTCAAGTAGAAATGAACAAACGTGAGTATTCTCAATATCGTATCTTCTTAACAAAGTATGCTTATTTTTCAGTGTGTTTGATAGATCATATTTATGCTCAGTATCAATGGAAATGTTATTATTATACATTTTTTTAATACAGCTTTATGAAACTAGCAGTAACTGCTGTATCTTCATATTATAAGTTATGTAATGTTAATGGTATTTTTCATCTCCATTGGATACGATCTTTACGAAATAGTTACTTTTTATCAACACTTAGAAAATGAAAATCATAAAACTACTCATCGGTATTCGCTACGTATGTTTGCAAATAACATGAAATTTTACAGTAAAATCAATACAATTTATCGACATGAGCTTTAAATGTGGTTTAAAAGGACGGGTCAAACAACCCAAGCATCAGCTTATTTTGAATACTGAACGGAGGTTGGGGGGAGTACAGTATCTTTGTCGGGTTCTTTGAACTGAACGATTTAAAAGGCTGTTACGAACCCAAACTACAAGTGAGCTTGTACACCGGCTTTTTATCCGAAACCCATTTCTTTTTGGACAATTAATATCTTCGCAGTTTCATTAGTTATTTAATTCTTAGGTTATTATTTTCTCCATAGCTTTCTGACACTTAACGAATAGCACTAAAATATGAGAAACACAACTAAAAGAAGAAAGGTATCAATATGTTTTATATGCATTTTCATAACCAGGTAACTTTCAACGTAGCTTGGCTCTGGCAAGCATTATTATGAAGACGTTGGAATGGGGACATCATCTTTCCAGTTTGGATTTGTCAAAATGGCAACCTTACTTATTGTGCTCTAAGGCGGTTATAATTACACTTGAATATTACAGCAGAAGGTAAACTTTTATTATGGTTCTAAAGTTTCCCTTGATATCGCAGATTTGCTCATTTTTCTATGAAGTAATTTTGAAGGTTTAGTAATGTCATTTTAATACAAAGTTATCTAAATCATTGTATTTGTTTGTTTCAAATTAAGCTACACAATAAATTACATGTGCTCTGCCCATCACGGGTATCGAAACCCACTTCCTAGCGTTTTAAGTCCGCAGACATACCGCTGCGCCACTGTGGAAGGCTCTAGTTATTTAAGTTCATTTAAACATTTTAATTTTTTTTTAGCTTTAAGATTCTTTGTGATAATTCTTGGTATATAATTTTGTTTAACCATTTACAGACTGTTAGTGAGGGGATTGTTGTATCTCTTGATTTATTCTTCTTCTCGAAGTAAAAATCCATAACGTAGTAAGAACTCCCTAAATTATATTTAGTCTTGGTTTTCAAAAAACATATAATTTGATTTATTCTTTTAGTTATGTTTTACGTTGTAAAATATCCAAAATTTTGTTCAATGACACTATTTGGATAAATAAAGAAAATATTATAAGTATATCCTTTTTTTTTAGAAAAAAAAGGGAAAAACAGATTTTATGTATACAAGATGAGTTTGATATATATTTATATTCATAAACATATTTTTTTGTCTATTGGAGCAAATACCAATTCTCTCAATAAATCGTAAAACAAAACATTGTAAAAACAACGTAATATTTACTGATGACTTAAGACCTGACCTATCAAAATGGCGTAAGATTAGGAAAAGTAACGATATACTTGGTCGAGATAAATTTATATCTAATAAATGAATTATATTTTAATGAATGATAGACTCTTTTATTCATTTAGTTGTTTCAATGAATTTGACAAAGATATTCAACAAATAACGATTTGAGACACCCCAATATTTCTGAGAAAAATATTGTTGAAATAGAGTTAGAAATATTATTCTTACTTAAATTTTGAATTTTATTTACACGACAACTAAAGGCGCTCACCAGGTTGAATTGATTAGAACTCAAGTGAGCCATCTGAAGTGTTTCAATAAACACTGATCGTGTTGAGAACACTTTGGACATTATTTTACATGTGACTTTTTACCAGTCTATCTGCCAGTTCCTATCTGTTAAATAACAGTGTATCACACCAAATTGATTTCGTGGACTTCATGCTGTTTGTTTACAACAACATTGGTCTGAGCATAAATGGGTGTAACAATTTTGTGTGGCTTACAACTTATCAAAGTGCCTAGCGGCATTCGGTGAAACAATTGTTTATATCTTTGTCTTATTATTTATGCCCCTGGTGGCTCAGCGGTAAGTGTCTTCGGGCTTATAGCGCTAGAAATAAGATTTCGATATTCGCAGGAGTCAGAACATAGATAGCCTATTGCGTAAGTTTCTGCTTAGCAGCGAAAAACAAACAAAAAGAAACGTAAATTACTATTTGGTTCATATATAAACATACTTGTACCTGCCAGTGGTAATTTCCTAGATAAAATTATATCGTAAAGTTTAATATTGGCTGATATAGAAGAATATTGTCAGCTTTAACTTGCCCGTATCCTAATTATTTTGTTTCTTTATATTATTTTCTCACCACATTTCAATAAAAAGTATAAATACTTTTGACGTATAATATTCTTGTCACTTTTTTCCCTCTATGTTTTAGAATAAGCCCGTTATGGGCTGTTATGTTTCTCTGGATGCACAATGATGTAATATATGTTAATTAAGTAAACAAATGATTATGTATGAACTACTAGAAATATTTATTTGTTACGAAACGCCCCTCTCTTGAGCACAATAACATGGAGAAAAAGTAGACGCATATCTATCTTAGCTACTTATTAACCTAGAGACTGAATTTTTTTCTTTAAAATGTTGAACATTTTGTAGCCTTTTCAGAGTACCGTATCTTGTAAAGGAAGCGTTTGATGTTTTGAGAGACGTAATGAATATATTTCCGAGTGAAGCTATGCCAGATAGAATAAAGGCAGCGTTACATCGCCTGATTGTTGTAATGATTGAGTTACTAGAAGAAAAACAGTGTCGCAGAATGTCACCATTTGTAGGTAAGTAATGTTTAGTGAACAAATAGTTGTTATAGTTTGGTTCGTTGTTCCTTCAAACATTGCTTCTGAAAATGTATTCAGAAAGTACTTTAGTAAGGTATTGTGTTTCTTAAAATATGTTTGACGTTTGATTTTTTAGTATTGACACGATGACTTCTTTAGAGCTATGTTGAACATCCTATATCTTCTTTAGTAATCCGTTTGAAATCATTACATGGTTTTCCCTTACTGGATGGAACCTTAGAATGTTTGAAATGCAACTAGACAAATGATCTAAACAACGCAGCGTTACGTGGATGAAGGATTTAGATTAAACACACACACGTTTTGTTTGTAGATTACTTCAATCTAAATAACACACAATACATTTTTTGAGTTCACTGGTTTTCATATTGAAATTATACAAAGGAACTGAAAAGATTAGTGTATAAATAAAATTTCATTTGAAACGCAAGTAGGAAATATTTTTCGAAATTTTATAGAGATATTACTTAAATGTTTTTTAATTGTTTCTACAACGTACAAAAACAATCTGTTTCATTAAACTTTTGTTTGTTTTGTTGTTAAGCACAAAGCTACACAATGGGTTATTTTTGAGTCATAAAACTAAACAAAAACTCAGTGTTACAAATGGGGTACGGTAAAAACAATAAATTATAAATATAATAAAGGTAGAGAAAGATCTAATATGATCTAAAGGTATTTTTACCTTTTACGAAATCTCATTCTTTGTCTCGTTCTAATGAATATTTGTATTTTTCTCCAAAAATAAAATCATTTTCGCCCACAAGCAATTTACTCTTTTATTTGATTTAGTTGTTGTTGTTGTTTTTTCAGGGAAAAGCTACACAATGGGCTATCTATTCACCTCGCGAAATCGATCCCGTATTTTACCATTCAAAATCTAGAATTTTACAGGTGACCCACTGGGGGACTATTTAGTTTGTTTTTAATTATGCACAAAGCTACACAAAGGCTATCTGTGCTCTGCCCACCACGGGTATCGAAACCCGGTTTCTAGCGTTGTAAGTCTACAGACATACCGCTGTGCCACTGGGGGACTATTTAGTTTAACTCCGTCTACTTCATCTTGTTTTTAAAATTGAATTACGTTACAAAATTACAACTATATCGTTGCTGTTACAGCCACTACACCCCTTCCATTCCGATGCACTTTAGTATTTATCTTGTACTTTTAACCTTTATAATCTAATTCATTAAGGTTTGTTTGTTTGTAGTTAAGCACAAAGCTACACAAAGGGCTATCTGTGCTCTGCCCACCACGGGTATCGAAACCCGGATTCTAGCGTTGTAAGTCCGTAGACATACCGCTGGGCCACTGGTGAGCTATTCATTAAGGAATGAGTATTATTTATATCAACATGTTATTTCTTCCTGTTTCAAAAGTTTTTTTTTTATTTTCATTTATGATTATTTCTTGTTTGTTTGTTTGTTTTTAATTATGCACAAAGCTACACAAGGGCTATCTGTGCTCTGCCCACCACGGGTATCGAAACCCGGTTTCTAGCGTTGTAAGTCCGCAGACATGCTGCTGTGCCACTGGGGGGGATTATTTCTTAATACAGCATATATTTTGTTTAACGGAAAAAATATACGTACTAAAATACTATCTCAGTGTATTGTGAAACTTGTTTTTGTTGTAGTAAGTTATATATTAACATAAATTGCTGAGAAAATAAAGATACGATATGTAAAAAGGTATTCAAATTATTGATAAAGCTTTTAATTTGAAAAATACAACCAACAATTTGTGCCCTAAGAAAACACGGACTTTATAAACGTATTAAGTCGTCAAGAAATTATTGTCGCTTTTTTTAGATGAAAAAAAAACCGAACAACTTATATATCAAAACAAAACATTTTTTTAAATGAAATAGTCTTCATTCTTATCGATGATGCTTTTCCATCTTCCAATCAGGTTGTCAATGCCCTGATTAAAGAAATCACTTGGCTTTGAAGCAAAAAACATGTCCTCTTTAACACTTTCCACATTTGCATACGTTTTCCCGTTAAGATAGTGTTGCAGCGAACGAAAAAGATGGTAATCTGATGGTGCCATATCTGAAGAATATGGTGGCTTCCCAACCCAACTCCATAATCTTGTATTGCATCAAATGTGCCACATGTGAATGTGCATTGTCGTGGAGAAGAAAAAGAACACCTTTCTGATTGACGAGTGAAGGGCGTTTCTGATGATGGGCTTGATTTAAACGTTCCAGTTGCTGACAATAGATCTCTACATTGACAGTTCGCTGTGGATCGAGGAGTTCTAAATGAATTACTCCTTTGATGTCCCACCAAATGCAAAGGATCACTTTCTGCAGATGGAGTCCAGGTTTTGGGGTCGGAATTAGTTTTTGTTTAGGACTGAGCCATTGTTTTTGGCATTTAATATTCGCATAGAGAATTCATTTTTCATCACCGGTGACAATTCTGTCCAAAAATGGCTCACGCGCATTACGCGCCAGAAGAAACGAAGCAACGTTCACACGTTGGAAACGGTGGTCATCGGAGAGTTCGTGAGGCACCCAAGCACCTTCTTTATGAAGCTTTCCCATAATCCTTAGATGTTTACGTATTGTTTCATGAGAAACATGCGATTTCAAGGCCATTTCACGAGTGCGTTGCCTTGGATTAGACTCAACAAGCGTCTTCAGAGCAATCAATATCAATTCCAACATGTCGGCTCCTGCCATTACAGTTTTTAAGGCTAAAGTCACCTGAACGAAATTTGCTGAACCAGCGAACGTTCAAAACATTTTCATAAACTTCTTTGATATTCTTTGTGTCTACAGAGGCGTTGTTTCCTTTCTTGTATTCAAACAGCATTACATGCCGAATATGTGTCTCGTCATATGTCATCACTATAAGGGATTAGAGTATATTAAACTGTACATATTATATAGGCTACACTAACGTGACGTTTTGATGTACGTTTTTTGTGAGGGTGGTTAATGAAAGGGTTCCAAAACGCGACATTAATTTCTTGACGAACTAATATAATACTTGTTCCCATTCATATCCCTCAATGGTACAGCGGTAAGTCTAGTTACGTTAAAAACCAAGTTTCGAGACCCATGGTGGGCACCGCACAGATAGCCAGCTGTGTGTAGCTTTATGCTTAACCAGAAACAAACATATACTCACTTTGACAAGTATACTTGTTCAGATACTTTCATCAAGCTTCTTTAAACAACAAAACATTTTTTTCACAATAATGCATGTTTTTAAGGTACCACAATAAGGTACTTAATATACTTATTAATGTTTTTCTTATTTACTAGAAAAATATGGAATTATACACATCTTGCGAGGTTTATTTCTAAAAAGTGTAGGTGCATATGTAGAAAAACAATCATTATATCAATAACGTTTTCTTATTAACAGTCTGAAATACAGGTTATTTTTTATGTAACTTAAGTTAACTTAAGTTTGAAGCTAATGACATGAAATGAATACTTAAGTGATACTATAAAAATAATGGCATGTTATTGGATATATGTCACAAAGAAACAACAGATGTATAAACTAGTCACATTTCGATTTTCTCAATAATATTACATAATCCTAAAGTAATTTTCAGAAAGTTGTTTCATAAACACTGAAGATAATTGACATTTTAGATAGTAATTTTATGCATTCAGTTTAAATGAAAATAATAATATTGATATTTACTTGATTTATTGAACTGATTATATGAAAAAAGCAAAAACAAATAACACAAAAATATTAGAAAGTGAATAAATACAGGCCCGTCGGAGTTCACTCAGGCTCTTTGAAAGAAATAGTTGCGTTAGAAAAAGTCACAGATAATAAAATTTGAAATAAAACCTTTGCGAAGACAGCTGTAAACCAATTTGAGAAAGTTATGTAGGTTTTAACTTTTTCTTTATATTAAGTTATTTCCTCTTGATCGAATAAAAACACTTGTTGTCTTAAATATGTTTACTCCATAATCTGCGGGTCGCGGGTTCAAATCCCCGTCACACCAAGCATGCTCGCCCTTTCATCCATGGGGCGTTATAATGTGACGGTCAATCCCACTATTCGTTGGTAAAAAAGGAAGCCCATGAGTTGGCGGTGGGTAGTGATGACTAGCTGCCTTCCCCCTAGTTTTACACTGCTAAATTTGGAACGGCTAGCGCAGATAGCCCTCGTGTAGCTTTGCGCGAAATTCAAAACAAACAAAAAATACTCCATAATTTAATGTGTGAAAACAGTGTGAAAGTTCTAATTTTTTTTCCCCTAAAGATTTTTGGCAGGTCTGGGCTGGTACCGGTCTCTTACTTCGTCCTGGTGATACTGACTGCTATTCTTTATCAAAAACGGAGGTAAGTTCAGCTTCTGCATTTGGGTTTTGTACAATGATTTTCTTTTTAAATATGTGATGATTTAATATAATTTATTTTCCTTTTTTTTGCAAATATGAATACGAAAATTTTAATTAAATTGTTATTTGAGTGCTTAATGCCATGGAAATAAACAAACGATTGCATTATGTTTTAAATATTGCGCACTTTGTATTAAATCAAAATATTTTCGTCTTGTAAAAGATTCCATGTTTCGTTTGTTTGTTGTTAAGCGCAAAGTTACACAATGGGCTATTTGTAATGTGCCAACAAGGGGGCCAGGGGGTATCGAAACCCGGTTTTTAACGTTATAGCCCTCTAGACGTACCGCTGTGTCACTAGGGGAAGGAACATTTTGTAATTTAAATATGTTTGTTATAATAACTCAAACATTACTTAAACTATATGTGTTACGAATATTTTGTTAATTCTTTATAATAAATTGCATTAGAATGTATTATGTTGGAGTTTTAGTTTTATATTAGTTGTCTGACGTAAAAAACACAATCGAGTATCTGTGTTATTCCCCCTTGGAGAGATAACATATCCTCTATTTTCCTATTGAGTCATCGGGGTCATTTCATTTAAATAAATGTAATATTTTGTGGCAGACATCTTTATGTCATCAATCTATTTTTTATATTACACCCATGCTTGACCTGCACTTCTTTTAGAAACATCTTAGCTTCGAATACTTCCATTTTAATGCTTGTATGTTAAATTAACTAGACGCCCATTTTAACAGACAGTTAGTCAGAGTAAAGGTTGTAGCCATATTATGTTATTGTAATTGAAAATATAATCGGAAGGTTTTGTTTCATTTCTCAATATTTCGTGTGGCCTTGTTATCTTGTGTATTAATATTATCTTGTTTTCATGTTTGTGTTAAAAGAAAAGCTAAAGTCACGGAGCATCTGTTATTCGTGACCTCTGGTGGAATGTGTGAAAATAATAAATTGGGAATTTGGGAAATTAAATAGATGAAAATGTTTTCATTATTTCGTAAAGGGCAAAGCCGATTAAGAAATGGATCTTGAAGTGATTCATCTAAGATGTTATTATAATTGCATGGCTTATTTTTGTCACTGCCTTTACGTAAGTGTCACATATGTGAGAATTACTTTCATTATTATTGAGAAAAAACAAGCACACACTTATTAAAAATATTTGACGTGGAATATAATTTCGCTTTTACAACACTGGCATAAAACTTTTTATTGATCTCAATTAATTGATTTTTCTCAAACTTTAAGAAATTTGATATATTTTTATCATGAAAATACGTTTAAAAATTGCAGATAAAAATTCTGCTAATGGCTTATGAGTTGCTGAAGAAAGAAATGGCCTCGCACAAGAGATATAACCAGCTAGAAAACACACGAGACAGCAGTGAAGCACTTTTCAAATTAATGCTGACCAGTGTGGACAATGATTACTCTTCTACAATGGAGCTGTTAACGGCCACAAAAAACACATTTATTTATGCCACTTACGTTTATACCTCAGCCTTGAACAATGACCTTTTCAGTATTACCATCATGAAAGATGTAAGGCTTGCTTATTATGTGGTAAGTTGTTTTATATGCAAAAGAAGTAAGCATATAAAATAATAATTTTAACTTTTTATTAAAATGACAAGACATAATTCCTTTTGGAACTGTTAATCATCTTGTGAAATTTGGACTATGATTTAAGACAATGTATCTTAAAATATTCTGTTAACAAAAATCATACTGATTAGTTTTTTTAACATAAAATATTCAATTAAATTCGTAGCTTTGATATTTCAGAAGACTGGATTAAAAACTGACATAAATTCGTGGCTATGTGGAAATGAAGAGACATGTCACTTTCATAGATTTAATGTTTTTATATGCATCCATTCACCTTCTACATTCCTGGAAAATAGTGACTTAAAGAAGGCATCACTTGAATTACCGCTGAGTCATGTTGTTCATCTCATGATGTGGACTTTTGACAGTAATTTAGAAAGTGAGCTCAACAATAAAAGTGTTACAATATTGTTACCAAATATGGCTAGTATAGAGGAAGAGGACAAATTACAGGTTAGTTTCACGTTTTTAGAACAAAACATTATACTACTCAGTCTCAGACTATTCAGTTTTAGATTTGTAAATGTGATACTCACACCTTAAAAATAAAAATAAATTGAAAGAGCGCCCCCCCCAAAAAAAACCACCAATAGTTCGAATGTCCTGTTGAATTTTGTCATTCTTGTCTTGCCATGCCCATCTAACAGAGACATACCAGTTTAAAAGAAAAGGGGGGATGGCACCTAGAGAGAAAGAAGCTTTTCTCAATAACCCCCTGCATTTCTTCATAATTGTTTAAGATGTACTTCCTAAATGGCTTTGATGTTAGCCAAATCAGAAGATACACTATATCTGACCCATAAATTGTCTGAAAAAATTCTACTTTGCTGGCTTAAACTTTAAATTATTCATTGACATGCTCTCTTTATGTAGTTAAATGTGGTTGAAACCGTGTAGGCACGACAAACTGAAACGTGCCAGTAACAGATATATATTTGATATAATTTTAACTGCAGAATGCCTGATGTGAGCTTCATCACCTTCATGGAAATGGGTGTCAACTCATTAATGGTGAATGACCTTACTCGAAATTCACACAATTCATTTCGTGTATTCAAAGCAGCCTCAGCATACATTCACACATTTCCATTCCCTCATGAGACAAATGCCTGGATAAATCAGAGGGCTGCTACTGCTTTCAACAACAAGTTTTAATTGGCAATAGCAAATTGGACGCAAGACGCAAGTGCTTAACCACACAGGAGTCCTCTGAACTTTCCAGGTATCTGTCTTTATGATGTAGTAGAAATGCGTGAATGTGTGTTATGGCATACAGTCTACACAGAATGCTGTGTCTCTTTCTTCTGTTTTACAGCATATAGTGATATGAGCATATGGTTTCTCACGGTGTATTATCCCGTCCTTCAACAAATAACCTTATTGTTCTGGTCATGCAGAATATAGCAGAGCCTTGCAATCTGAGGGTCGCGGATTCGAATCACCAAACATGCTTGTCCCATCAGCCGTGGGAGCATTATAAATGTGATGGTTAATCCCACTATTCGATTTGAGTAGAGTAAGAGTTGGCTGTGGGTAATGTTGACTAGATGCCTTTATTCTTGTCTATCACTTCAAAATTAAGGATGACAAAGGCAAGTTTGTCCAAAATTCAAAAGTAACAAATCAACATCTTATTATATTTAATATCTTAAAACTTATTTCTATTGTTGAACATAACTTTGCCTGTCATTAAGGCACGTTTGGTTGAAGGACATTTATATGAAAATAATGTAGTTTCATAATCATGAAAAATAATCTTAGGTTTTAGAATTGGATATGAAAGAAAAGACTTCAATATATCATTCACACAAAAGTAATCTCCATTTAATTCAAAAATAACAACTTAAAATCAGGTAATAGTAAATAAAATTCTACATTTACTAATTAATAGAAATAAAACCTTCAGGTATTAAATGTGTTAAATGAAAGCTTTACTTATTTGATGTATGAAATAATAATGTGTTGAAGCGTTTACCACTGAATAGTATCTATGAATCACTCCATGTGAGCATTGAGGACAATCTGAAACTTTCGTCAAGAGCTTATGAAGTCAAACATTTCATAACTACTTATATACTCGTCGCATTGTTTTATGTAATATACATAATGAAATAAGTTTAAACGCTATTGTGAACCACAACTATGTTAATTCTAATAATCAGTAGACCAGGCTTTGTCTAATGATTAGCATGCGGGTGACATATCGAAGGATATCTAGCTCAACATGGAATAATCTCCCCCCTTTCATATGTTTGTGCATTGTAAATTGTCAGTAGCTCCCTTTATTTGGGTCGAAAAGCTATACAAAGTCCTTGTAGCGGCGGGTCCTTTTGAATGGCTATATTTCCTCTAGTCAATATATTAAAATGAGAAACGGCTACATCTGAAACCTAGAGGCCGATGACGTGGTCATTTAGCCCATTTTTCGCGTAAAGGATCTTTCATGCTGAAAATTCTAGTTACATCTATATAAAATATACATAAAATTAAGAGTTTATACATATTTATACAGATATGTTTTTCATAACAGCCTTATATACCTTTCATCGTTATGTTATTGTTCTTCGTTTTTGATGATATGTGGCAGTCTCCAAAACGTATATTTTTGTGCAAAATTATATTACGTAGAATTAAGGGCCGAAAGCACCGTATCAGAAAGGGTTCTTAGTGCAGAATGATCATGAAAGCTCTTCGTATTTGCCTTTTACACATAATCGAAAACATTAATCAATAATTGTTATTAATAACGTACTAATTTTGTATCTCTTGTATTAGAAACTATGTCATAAATACATTATGGCGAAAGCGAAAGCTTTTATTTGGATGTAGAATTGATTTAACGTGTTTAACATGACCTTATCTGCATTTTTTTAGTGTGTAACCTGGAACAAAAACCTTTGGGAAGCAACGCCATGTCTTAACGTTAAATTGGTTCAGGGAAGTTTTGAATGCAAGTGTCACATAAAGAAATACATAGGGCAAGTATTACCTTTTTTAAAAGTTCATTTCTTATCATATTGAAACTCAAAGAAAACAACCTGTAATTCAACAAAATATGACAGGATCGCTATCTCAGTATTTGTTATATGTCAATACAGTGACTTATTCTTAGATATTTCTCCTGATTATAATATCTATTAGCGCAAAAATAAAAAACGCTCTGTTTGTACAGTATTACTGAAAATACCACCGCCAACATTTCATATTATGGCAGTAAGAAAACAGTCTGTTTTAAATCTTTTAAGGTGTATTTCAAGCAGAAATAATTGTTTCTGACCGAGCAGAAATTCAAAACCATTTTCCTATTTTTTTATTAACTTTTGATATTTAAACATTTTAGTAATTTGAATAATAATAGAGCATTTTAAACTGCTAGTAATATGATTTTATACACATTATTCATTGAGTTACTATTTTACAAACTAATTGTCTGTTCTTTGTTTTACACAGAACTGCAAAATAAACTGCTAGTAATATGATTTTATACACATTATTCACTGAGTTGCTATTTTACAAACTAATTGTCTGTTCTTTGTTTTACACAGAACTGCAAAATAAACTGCTAGTAATATGATTTTATACACATTATTCATTGAGTTACTATTTTACAAACTAATTGTCTGTTCTTTGTTTTACACAGAACTGCAAAATAAACTGCTAGTAATATGATTTTATACACATTATTCATTGAGTTACTATTTTACAAACTAATTGTCTGTTCTTTGTTTTACACAGAACTGCAAAATAATAAATTAACTCTATCGGTTTCCTCTTTTAATAAAAACTTTTAACTTCGATGTTTTAGCATAGAAATTTCTCTGTATAATTAACACGAATGAATTAAAAGTTTGTTGAACTGAACATTTTTATCTTATTACTGATAACCTATATTATAGTAATGATCAGCATTAACCTTTAAAATAAAATAAATTGCTTTTGATATGAATTAAGCTTTGATAACGCACATTATATTTTAATAATTCTTACTTTATGTCTTGATCGTTACAAGTTTGGCCCTGTGTTTACTGTGCCGGGCTATGGATTTACCGATCCATCGTTCGTGGCACATCTCACTAGTATATGGAACATGAGTAGTCCAAGTATCAACGACTGGTATTATTGAGTACCTTTCTTCCATCTAATTTACCAATTCAACAATACAGAAAGCTGGTACAAATATTCTTTGAGGAGCTTTGCACAAATGTTTGGTAACGGAGAAACAAACATGACATGATCTTTCTACATCTACCTTTTGGCATTGTTCCAAATCGCAACCAGTTTTTCAGTTTTGTTTTAATTCTCCTGTTCTGTGAAGTGGTAGTATCAGTACAAAACTATTACTCTGAAGAAGGTTCACACATTCTTTGGTATCAACTGCTCGAGGTAGAACATATATGTTCATCACTTTGATCTCCAGCCTGAAATCCTTCCTCCAAAATCTTTATTCTAGTCATTAGCATGCTAGTCTATCTTGAAGAACATCACCAGTGATTTATAGATTTTCAAAATAACTTAGGGCAGGGGTCACCAAACTTTTTTCACAACGGGCCAGATAACTGAGAGAATGACGGGCGCGGGCCGCATAACCATTTTGTTCAATTCAATATAGTAAATACACAAAAAA